TCGTAACAACTCCCTTTAGAATAGGTTAGTTATAACTTCTTTTGTGTATATATGTAACCTATTTTGCTACGAATTAAAATAACAAGAAGGAGTCTATCATTCTGCTCCTAATTCAAATATGTATACTTTCTACCGGTTTCTTTAATTCTCTTCAGTATGCATGTTGAATGTTCAAATGATTTTTATGATTGTGAACTCTTTTATGAAATATATGTTCTAACTATGTTGCCATCACAACGTTGGTAAGTATGTGACTTATGAGCACCACTGAGTTTTATACTTAGCACTTGATTTTTATCACACGTAGGTTGAAGACCATGGTTACTCCTCAAAGACCAGAAGGGTAGCATCAGAGCAGAAGAGACTATTTTGGTAGTAGTAAAATTAGTGTTATGTAACTAAGAATTATGACATGTATAATTATTATTTATTTGGAGATTATGTTATTCAAATCATAACTTAAGTATATTATTGTAAATTATTTTGGTATATATATTTGAAGTTAAGCATGGGACTCATTTAATGATTGGATATAAAATAGTTTCCAAGAATATTTGGCATGGTTGGATTATTACGGACTTGATATATATAAATGTATGCATTTAGTTTGATGATGGATATGATACTAATGAGGAATTACATGGTTATGAAATTATAGAAGTGTTGTGGTGTTGAGTTGATTATTGGAGTTGATGGAGGTTAGGAGTTTTAAATTAGGAGTGTTTTGTATTCACTTGTTTTGGCAAGCTCAGTTTTCAAGGGAAACTCTTACAGTTTTTCTGTAGAATTTTCCCAAATCAATTTTAAAAAAAAAAAAATTACTTGCTAAACTTGTGAATACTAAATCACTACTAATTCGTAACATGATAATATGATTTATATGTTAGTTAGGATGGTGCCTCATATGTTAGTTAGGATGGTGCCTCCGGCACCAAATGTGGCGTTCGTCGTCAAATCTTTCGGGACTAGCGGCGGGTGTTACATTTAGTGGTATCAGAGCATAGGTTTAGACGGTTCTAGGACTATGTCTATATATAGGAATTTATCTACTTTGAAGTGAGAGTATAAGTAATTTAAGTTAAATAAATGCCATATTGGTTTGGTTTGGAACTTCTCTCTAATGCGAACCTATTAGTCTTTGTAGGAGTCGACTAATGTCTCAGCACCATTCTAATGAGGAGGTCGATAGCTATGCCTCTCCTAGTGGCGATATTCCTGCGGGTGGTGCCACTGGTGGTGCATTGGGTTCCAATGCAGAGCACACCTCGAGGATGGGGCAGGCTGCTGCGGGTCCTGCGAGGCCTAATTAGGATGTACTTGTTCAGCAGTTAGTTACTACTTTGAGGCAGGTAGCGGGAGTTGTTCCCCAGGCTCCGGTCGCTCCAGCCCCCACCTCGAGGATGGGGCAGGCTGCTGCGGGTCCTGCGAGGCCTAATTAGGATGTACTTGTTCAGCAGTTAGTTACTACTTTGAGGCAGGTAGCGGGAGTTGTTCCCCAGGCTCCGGTCGCTCCAGCCCCCGTTCCAATTCGTCCCCCTATAGAGAAATTGAGGAAGTATGGTGCTGTTGAGTTTATGGGTAGGAAAGATGATATGGCTTCCGTAGCGGAGTATTGGCTTCGATATTTGGAGAGGATATTATAGCAGATGCAGTGTTCTTCTCAGAGGACAGCTTAGTGTGTGCCACTTCCTTGTTGAAGGAAGAGGCTTATCAGTGGTGGGAGATGTGTCGGGTAGTCAGTGCCGAGGAGAGGACTTGGGATTTCTTCCTTTCTGAGTTTAGACAAAAGTATATTGGAGAGCTTTTTTATTGATCAGCGTAAGGCTGAGTTTCTGGAGCTTAAGAAGGGCAGGATGGCTGTGTCAGAGTATGAGCGAGAGTTTATCTGACTGAGTAGGTATGCCGTGCAAGTGCTTCAGAAAAGGCTTGCATGATGAGTATATGATGCATTTGGTTGCTCATCCCCACACTTCCTTATCTTCCCTAATGAAGGCTGCTCTAGAGCTTGAGCAGGTTAAGACTGAGCAGCAGGCCAAGAGACAGCGAGGTCAGCAAGGTCAGCAGAAGAGGTTTCAAAGAGCAGTGTCTGATCAGACTTAGGATAAGTACTTTGCAAATTTCTTTTTCTTCCTCATCATAATACTCATCATAGATTGGTTCCAGAAGGTCCTTGTTGCTACCTTCACTGTTTTGATCATCAAAATATGAAACTTCTTTCTCCTTTTCATTCTTCCTAAGGTCATCAACATCTACCAATGTTATTATTCCCCAATCTAAATAATATGTTGCATGTAACTCTCCATGAACATCAGCTACTTCAATCTTCATCCCTCCACCATTCAAATCAATGGCGTGTAGTGACAACTCTTCCAATCCACTTTGTGCCGCTCGATTTGCGGGTCAGCTTCATAAAAAGGGTTTACGTCCTTGACTTCATCTATTTCAAGATCCTCTTGAATCTTGAGTTGTTTGTGGTTGCCTTCCGGAATCTCCATTCGGGCTTCCACGGGTTCCTGACACTGCAAGGCTTGTATAGCCCAGGTCAAATCCTCAATCACTCGTCATATCTCAGTCATCTCTGTTTTTTGGGACTAATTACCTCTACTTCGATCTCTCCCTCTACCAAACATGGTTTAGAACATAATAGGAAAAATATCTTGCAGCAATTTAGGATCTTTTTGCATTCTGATACCACTTAATGTAGGGGAAAAATGTAGAGCAATTAATTCTCAATAATTATGCTAGAATAGGGTGATTTTAGTTTGAACAGAATAACATATTGGTTTCAAAGAAACCCTTAGAATTAAAATTCTAAATTCATAGATAAAAAACAATCCTTCAAACTAATTGCTACTGTCCTATTTATATCAATTAGGACAAATCCTAATTCTATACTGAAAGATATTCCTAATTAGCTTAGACTCCTAGAATGAACAGTATTTCTATTTAGCTAAATTCTAAATAAAGAAGGAAAACTTAAATTATTTCCTGATTAATTAACAGTCTTTAAATAAAGAAGGAAACTCAAAGACAACTTCTTAATTAGTCTTGGAGTAATGTGCACTTGAAATCCAACGAAATCAATAATTTTATAAAATTCTTCCAAATCAGTAATTTTTTGAATACCATCAAATTTGTATGGACTTTTAAAAAGTCATAATTTTGAATACCATCAAATTTGTATGGACTTTTAAAAAGTCATAATTGAATACCATCATATTTTTATGGATTTTATAAGAGTATGAAAAGAATATCACAAGATTTTAATAGACTCTAAAAAAATCTACATCGAATACCATTGGAATTTTAAAATCTTTTAAAATCTAATCGAGCCTTAATCCAATACACCCTTCTTAGTCAACAAAAATTATTTTTTTCTTTTTACCCTTAACTCATTAAAATATTAATGAAAGTCCTTCATTTAATGAACAATCATAATGTTATTATGGAAAAATAATTGTTTAAATATAAAAATTTAGAAATCTCGCAAACATTTTGGAATATCCCAAAAAGGAATAACAAGCAAACAAAATAGCATTTTGGAATATCCCAAAAAGGAATAACAAGCAAACAAAATAGGACGGAGAGAGTACATTTTTATTTTCTTTTTTGCTTAAATGGATAATACTCGTTGACAATTTAACTCTTATATAAAACTATGTGTTTCGGGTTAAAGGCTTTTGTTAATCAAATTTTGATTAACACAATATGACCAAATACAGAATTAGATGCATCACAACACGAATTGTTAGCCATAATGAGTACAAATGTCTCCACCCAAATTAAATAATATATTTTTAGACTTGCTTAGATCGGATACATGACCTCACCTATCGATCAAACTAATAAACATAGAAATTTTCATTAAAAAAAATATTTCTGACCATATACCAAAAAAAAAATATATATATATATAAGAATAAATTTTATAACATTATTATTTTCATTAGTTTGATCTATAGGTGGGCCATGAAACATATGGAACTACATTAAGAGAAATTATCATAATCGTAAAAGTTTTCCTTTAGAATAATTTAACAAGACATTGAGTTTAAATTGATCAAAGAAAAATAAAATTAAATGAGAAGAAGAAACCGTAAAAAATTCTTATTTCACAAACTAGTTATTAAGTTTATAGGACAAATAATTTGAAATAAAACAAATTTGTCAACTGATTTAATATATACATTTTATTCCAATTCAAAATGAAGCAATTTGAGGTTTGAATTTTGGATTACAGACCAATATGATAGACCAATATGATATTCTAAACGGTAAAATAATTAAATACTCTTTTCTGATTTTTGTTCCAATATGGGATAAAGCAATCTCCCACTGCACTAAAATTATACTATTTTCTTTCATACTTTAATGAGTCCATTCTTATGTAAACCATCGATTTCACATCTCCTTCATAAGATCTTTTCCCTTCGTAAAAAAATTGAATTAATAAAAATTCTTTAATATACTAGGGTTCAATGTTTCTTAAAAACTTTTTCTTGATTTCTTGAGAGCCAACACACCATCTTTTAGTCTAAGCCTCTCTTGTTGGTAAAATGTTGAACATTGCAGGCCAATATTCAAAAATGGATGTTATTGCCAATCCATCTTAGCACAAATGTTGTCTTCTTCTTCTTTCACTTATTAAATTTAGGCATCAGAGCTTGAGTAATGTCATAAGGACAATAGATTGTTCAACCCACTGGTTCAGACTCATTTTTCCTCGAAAATAACTCATCTCTGTCGGTTTCTTTCTCGTTAAAAGTTCTCATCAAATAGAACTACACATAACTATAACATCACACTTCTTCATCGATTACAAGTCCTTCTTGATCATACTCTACAAATTTTACGTTCTCATTTCTAATTATTGCATATTTCAATTATTGTGGCTATTAAAGACTGCATTTAAATTTAAGAATAATTTTGAGAAAGCAAAAAAAAAAAAAAAAAAAAAAAATTGAAAAAGAAAATAATAAATAATAGATAAGAAACATTACCTGGTGCCATATAACCAATTGTGGCTAGTGTTATCGTTTGCTTAACAGAATCTTCTTCACCTAAAAGTTTTGCAATGCCAAAATCAGCAACAAATCCCACCTTCTCTTCATTTAACAAAACATTGCTTGGCTTTATATCACAATGAACCACAGGCATAACACAGCCATGATGGATATATTCTAATGCAGATGCCACATCTACCATAATATTTAACCTTTGAAGAATATCCAAAAAGTAATTCTCGGAATATAACCATTTCTCTAGACTTCCATTAGGCATGAACTCAATTACCAATGCCTTGAAATCAAGATTGCAACAACTACTGACAACTTTGACAAGATTTCGATGGCGAAGATTGCGTAACACATCACATTCCTTTTCAAAGCTCTTAAATCCTTTCTCTAATTGCATATTGAAAACCTTTATTGCAATAATTGTTCCATCTGATAAAGTTCCCTTATACACTTTTCCAAAACTTCCCACACCAAGAAAATTGCTTTCTTGAAACCCATTTGTTGCAAACTCAAGTTCTCGATATGAAATTCTTCTCCATTTCTCTAATTGCAAAAAACTTTCAGGATCTTTAAGCTTTGCTTTTCTTTTAAATCGATGAAAAATAATTATGACAAGTATCAACACAGTGAATATGAAAGAAGGCAAAATATATCTAAGAAAAAGCTGGCTTAGCTTTTTAGATGCTCGAATATTGCGATTGTTTTGGCTTAGCTTTTTAGATGCTCGAATATTGCGATTGTTTTTGCAAGTTGCAACCTCCAACCTAGGTAAGCCACATAACCCTTTATTTCCTATAAAGAACTGGAATGAAAAGTTCATAAAAGGTCCTTTATCAGGAATTTCTCCTTGTAATTGATTAAAGGAAACATTGAAGTACTTAAGATGCAATAGTTTCTCCAAAGACTTAGGAATCATTCCTGAAAGGTTATTTCTTGAAAGGTCTAAGAATTCCAAGGCATTCAAGTTATCAATTGATTCAGGAATTTGACCTTGTAACTTATTCCCATGTAAGTATAAGGCAATTAAATCTTGCATACCTCCAATGGTTGTAGGAATCTGACCCGATAATTCATTTTCTGATATATCTATCAAAACAACAACCTTTAGGTTCTCGATTTCTGACGAGAGAGAACCCATTAAAGCAATTAAATCTTGCATACCTCCAATGGTTGTAGGAATCTGACCCGATAATTCATTTTCTGATATATCTATCAAAACAACAACCTTTAGGTTCTCGATTTCTGACGAGAGAGAACCCATTAAAGAGTTTGAAGATAAGTTCACTTGTAAAATATCTTTTAGTCTCCATAAAGTTGAGGGTATGGTACCAATGAAGTTATTCGAAGCCAAGAATAGATCTCTTAAGGATGTAAGGTTGTTAAAGCAATATGGTATCAATCCTGAAATGTTATTGCTCGTCAATTCCAAGTTAACAAGTGACTTCAAATAACATAGCTCATTTGGGATAAATCCTTGTAAATTATTACCATGAAGAAATAAACCTTGAAGCTCTACTAATCTTCCAATAGCACTTGGAATTTCTCCTGTTAATAAATTGTTTCCCAAATTTAGACTTATCAAGCTATTTAAATTGCCAATATTTTCTTGAATTTCACCCTTTATAAGACAATCACTAGCAATAAAGTATTCAAGAGAATTGGATAAATTTCCAATAGAAATTGGAAGATAGCCTTCTAAAAGTGGATTGTGACCGAACCATAAGTAGACCAAATTTTGACAATTTGTCAATGATGAAAGAAAGCTTAGCTCTCCAAATGGATTTTTAGTGGCTAAAAGATTATGAGCTAATTTGAGTGTCTCCAAATATTTTAAAGTTCCAAAGCACTCAGGAATGGAGCCAAAAAAAGAATTGTGAGCTAATTCTAGGATTTCTAGCTTAGATGCATTGCAAATGGATGGAGGGATAGGTCCAGTGAGTTCATTAATACTAAGGTAAAGCCATATAATATTTGGAAGGCTAAGGCCTAAGGTTGATGGAAGATTTCCTGACAGATTATTGGATGTAAGAGCAATCCAATTCATTGTTGAGATATTGAAGATTGAAGATGGAATTGAGCCTTTCAATTTGTTGAAAGATAAATGCACAATTTGCAGATTTTGAAGGTTGCCAATCTCTTGAGGTATTGTACCTGCCACAATTAATACTTTAGATATTCCATTATTGTATTCTATTGAGAGAGAATAAAATACAAAATATTTGCATGGTTATTAAATATAACTATTGTTGAAATATTCTTCTAAAGAGTTGATTCAATTTTCCTCTCCCGCATACGATTGACAGATGCCCTTTAAAAATACAGTGCTCAAATCCAAACCTGTTTATAGGAAATGTATCTCAACTTATTCTAAATCCTTCTAAAATTTTTCTTCTATTATTTGAATCCATACCAAACCCAATTATAATTAACCATTTAGTGTCTAAACCCCTCTAAGTGTTGTTTAACTCCAAAAATGTTTTTTTAAGTTTTTATTTTTTTGAGAATAAAGATAAGCAAAAATCAACTTGATAACCATTTATCAAGTTTTTATAGTATTTGTACAAAATATAATTATAATAGTAGTTATTATAAGTACAAAAGTATAATTATAAGAGTACTAATTAAATGAGTGATTAGTATTAGTGGTGGACACCCAAATTCTTGAACTCAAATCTCGTATGAATAATAAAAATATTCCTAGAGTCATCCCAAATCCATTATCCATTACCTGAATCCATTCTATCAGGGTTGGATGGGTCGGGTTACCCAAATAAGTCTATCCCATTGCCAACCCTAATCCCACATTCTCTGCCATTAGATAAAATAATTCAAATTTTCTCATTCTTTCAAATCAAAATCAAATTGAAACTGAACGGTCAAAATCGTCACTAAACCGTAGACAACGAATTTGGTTCCAAACCGTAACCAAAACTATGAACTTAAAGTTCATTTTTGGTTCTTCATTTTTTGAAACTGAAACCGGCAGTTTCAGTTTGAAACCGTGAAAAACATATTTGTAAAGAAACTTTCAACTTATTTTTTTTATTATATTTTTTTAAAGTAACTTTTAAGAATTTTTATTAAATTGGTTTGGTTTTTTTGGATAGTAATATTTATTATTATTGTTTAATCAAGCTACAAATATGAGAAAGCATTTTAAAAAGTTTAAAATATATTATTTAATTTTAGTTCAAAATCGAAATAAAACCGAAATCAGCAATTCTAAAATTGTCTTATAAACCACCTAAAAGCGGTTCAGTTCGGTTCCGATTTCATCTTTTTCAGAACCAGAACCGGCGGTTTTCAAACTGAAATCAGCAGTTTTGGAACCATGTCTAACTTGTATCATAGTCAATGACATATATTTACAAACATTTTTTGTTTTAATTATTTGTTGAATAAGAAGAATTTGAATAACCATAACAAACAAATAACAGTAATCTAACAATAATTGTCCGTAAATAACAGTTTTACCAGTTAAATTGTTTTTGTCCATCGATAATATCTGGAGCAAAGTAATATTTCCAATCTCCCTTGGAATGGTTCCTGCGGCATTTATCATTATCAAATAGGGGAACAAAAGTTAAGATGAAATAATTATTAAAATTAAGTTGCTTTTGTTTTAGAAAAATAACTTACCTAGAAAATATTTGTTGGGTTCAAGGTGTTAAAAAAAAAAAAATCAATAGAATTTATTTTTCTAGTATAAAAAAACTAAGCTACTTTAAGAGAAAATGACTATCATTTCTCAACTGAGAAAAATATTTTGCAGAATTTATTATATCCTTTAATACATATTTATTAATTCATTGTCCATTGATAGCTACAATCGCATTTCACTGATCACCACTGATCTTTATTACTAATCACAAGTCATAATCACAGACCACCCTAACTAACACAATTTATAATTTTATATATATTTTTTTCTCATATTTAATAATAATTTATAAATTATGAAAATTTATAATTGTAAATATTTTATAATCTTATAAATTAAAAATTTTAATATCTTTTAGCTAACTTTCAATATGGCAATTAATCAAACAACAAAAATTGAGTTGTTTCCTTGAAAAATATTTGTTATTTTTGGAAAAATAAATGGAGCTGTATATGATTTTAATTATTGAATTAGGTTAAACTAAAAATAATAATAATAATAATAATAATAATACCTGTTAAAAAGTTTCGATTAATTAATATTTGCTTAAGGGAAGTGCAGTTTCCAATGTCCCCTGGTATACTTCCTGTAAATTGATTAGTATTTATCCATTAGTAAGTCGACTCCTAAAACAACCAGATTAAACTACTTCAACAGAAACGATACCGTTCAGGCTGTTGACCTGCAAAGCCAATATTTCTAAATTGAAAAGATTTCCAATCTCTTGAGGGATTTCGCCTGCAAATTAAATCATTATTAGTTGGAAAATTACACGTAAACATATAGGAACACGTAAAAGTGGGGTTTCCGTTGGTTTGGTTCAAATTAAACTGAATTTAGTGCAATAAATTTTTATATAGAGGAAATTGAGCCGAATCACTTCAGTTGGATCTAATTTTTTAATTTTGACTTCTGGGGTTTTAATCTTTTTGGTTTTACATATACTAAAACCAAACCATAACCGAAAAATTTATTTTTTTTATTAAAATTAAAATCAAACTAAATCTTTTAAAAATCAAATTTTATGGAATTAGATAGTTCTACTTAAAACATTAAGTGATATATTTTTTCCATTTTTGGAAATCTTCTACTCTTACAATGAATGATTAATCTATAATTATAATAGAAAAAAAAAGTGAACAGTCTATTGTGTTCATACCATTTTATCTCAATTTTGTTGTATAAAAATATTAATAATTATAATATAATAAAAAATAATTAAAATATCAAAAGCCTGTCCGAATAATCGGGTCAATATGGGTCGACCATTTCAATTATGGGTTAGCCCATTCAATCCGGTTAACTTTCTTAAATGGTTAAAATTCAAAATGAACTCAACTCTGAGGCCGGTTCACCGGTTCTCAGAGTTACCCAACAAGTTAATTCAAGTTTAATAACCACGAGAAAATATATTAAAAATACCTGTCAAGTAGTTGCGACCAATATTTAGTTGTTTTAGCTTGGTAAAATTACCAATTTGTGTTGGTATGCTTCCTGTAAATTCATTGGAAATCAATCTTAACACTTGAAGCTCTTTACACTTGTATAGATCAAATGGAATCTGGCCATACAACTTTGTTTTAGCTTGGTAAATTACCCAATTTGTGTTGGTATGCTTCCTGTTAAATCATTCTGGAAATCAATCTTAACACTTGAAGCTCTTTTACACTTTGTATAGATCAAATGGAAATCTGGCCATACAACTTGATTTCCCCACCAAGATTAAAGGCCATCGATAGCTTCGGTACTTGGTTTGCAACAAATTTCTGAAGATTTGCAAGAAATTGTTGTTTTGTAAATCAAGAATTCTAAAGAATCATGTCAAAATAGTATGGACTGGATTGGCACCATTTAACTGTTTAATATCCCGCATTTGTTACTCCTTTAAGCTTGATTTCAAGGTTACCAATTCTCATCTAAAACTACTATCTTTGTAGCAAATTGCCCTCAAGCATTTAAGGGTCTCATATACTTGTCATGTTGAAAAATTGATTGAATCTACCCATTAGAGTGGCCTTACTTGATTTATACCTGCTTAGATAATTTCTATTTAGCTTTGACTTTGAATTACAAAATATTAAGACATTGGCGTTATTGTATTATTTAACGTTGTGTGTGTGTGTGTATTATATTATAATATATATAATTTTTTTTTAAAACACTCTTCAATACGGTGACAAGTTATTTTAAAAAAATAGTAAGCCTATCCACAAGTTAATAGGAAGGATTAGTTGGGTAGGAATGTCATTCCAAACAGCACTTGAACTAGCATTTCTCTGTTATTATTTAGTTTGAGTAGAGTACATAGAAAAAAAATTATATTTCCCATAATTTCTCAAAGAAAAAATTAAATTTTGGACAGGATAATTTTTTAAAAAAAAAAAAAAAAAAAAAAAAACGAAAAAAAAAAAAAAAAAAAAAAAACGATAGATAAAATCGTAGAGAATTAAATTCCTTGAATTGAACAATAGAGGATGGAGGCATAGTACAAATACCTGTGAAACTGTTATTAGCAAGAATCATGTCTTGAAGCAGAGGTAACATAGTAAGCTCTGATGGAATATCTCCATAAAAACTGTTATTTGACAGGTTTATATATCTCAAATTGCGTAAATTACCCAATTCCTTTGGCAGAGGACCATGGAAGCTGTTATTGCTGAGGTCCATATAAACAAGAAATGAAAGATTACCCACTTGAGAAGGAATAGTTCCATTGAGATGCATACTGTAAAGATCCAAACCCACAACTCTTTCCTTGTTAGAACTGCAGCTAACTCCAAACCAATTGCAAAAAGAAGTGGCAGTTGACCAATTTTTTGCTATGAAAGGATGAAAGTTGTTTTGTGCTTTGAAGGCTAAAAGTGCAGATAAATCAGTCATATTATCGGTATTGGTATCAATTGCCATAGAAAGCTGTAGGCAACATATTAGCAATACTAAAGCAAAATACGGTGGCCAAGTCTGCTTGCCCATCATGTTGGGATTTTGGTGTGAAGTTATTCACCAAACGAAAGGGGATGGCTGTATATATAGCATGCACTACGGCAGTGCTCTTACATTTTTTTATATATCTTTTTTTTTTTAATTATAAAAAAAAACTTGGTCAGATGTGCTTTAACCACCCTTTGATTTTAGCAACAATATCAATTCTCTTCCTCCATAATATTTTTTTTATTAAAAAGATACTTTGAAGGACTCGGATTGTTTGACATTATTGTTTAAAATGTCTTTGACCAATTTATGAGATTAAAAATATGAGCTGCATTTTTCTAAAAAAAAAAAAAAATTATGACCTGCATTCTCATGAAGTTTATTTATTTTTTTGATTAACTATTTTCATTTCTTGGTTACACACAGCATTAGATACCCCTTTCTCATGTCATTATAGACTAAAATTTTGGGTATGTTTGGCAATACAGTTGTTAGTTGTTCAATCAGCTGTTAGTAGGTGGCTGTTTATATAGTGATTTAAATTAAAAGTGTTCGGTAAAAAAAAGTTGTTTAACTTACAATGACAAAAAAAAAGGACATTAATTTTTTAAATAACTGAATTCAGAAGAAAAAACAAGAAGTATGATTGTCAAACAATTTAATTAAAAGCTAAATGTTATATTATTTAACGTTTTATAAAAAGCTTCATCAACATCTAAAAGCTACTATAAAAACTATGTTACCGAACATTATAATCAATAGAGATAGAGTTTTGACCTGGTCAGAACGTTAAAAGCTATCTCAAAATCTCTTGTCGAATATGGCCTTTATTAGGAATGAGTATTCTATCGATTTAGTTCAAATCGAGCCAAATTAATGTTTATCAAATAAATTAAAATTTTTAGGATTTAAATCAAATTGAACAAAATAGTATATATAATCGAATTGGTTTTGTACTTATATTTTGACTTATTAAAAAATGAGAATCACTATTTCGTCCTTCGATTTTGATCAAATACACCAATCAGTCCTTGCTTTTTCCAAAATATGTTGTTACAACCTTATGTTTTTTACCCGTGAAACGCTGCAGTCCCTCCATCAATTTTTTCAGTATTTAGACGTGAGTCAAAAGCAAAAAAGACAGTGAAATGTGAGAAAACACTTTAAAATGACAAGACTAACCTTTGGGAACACCGTGTAAAATGAAAAAAAAAAAAAAATCACTCTCTCATCTCTCACATTAACTGTAACACCCTAGGTGAATCTCACATTGACTAAGCACAAGGTGGAAGTGATGTACATAAGGATAAGCAAGTTTTAGACAAGTAAGACGCGTTTCGGGCTATGGATGGTTCTAATTCAAAAATAAATTCATGTGGCTTGAGCTCAAAGCGAATAATATTTTACTAGACATGAGATGGATTCATTCTTACCGAGAAAGATGCTTAGATTTATGCTTACCGAGAATTGCTTCCTCAATGGCAATCTCTTACCCTCTCTCACAAGGTATTCATTCTATTGTATTTGTTATTCAATTTAATTCATTTAATTTTTAACCTTGCAACAAACCTGAATTATGGCTTTCTTTCCCTTTAGTTGTTATCTGATCCTTTAATTCTGGCTTTCTTTCCCTTCCAAATTTCCTATTTATTTAATTCTAAACATAGGAGCAAATTATTTAACCCGTCTTCTTTAGGGACTAGTCTATTCGGGAACTTATTTGAGAAGCAAGTTCATCTTTTCATTGTAGAATGGATCGTTTTTACTGGAGAGAGAACGGAGAATCAACCTTGGAATGGATTCTGCCATTCCTAAACGTGCGTATCGCACGTATCAGTTAGGTAACCTGAGGAGGGTTAACGAACTATAGTGGGTCCCACTTTTATTGTTTTTTAATCTTAACTTTGATTCCATTTCAAATTAGGGTAGAATTTTTATATAAGTTTGAAATTAGGGTGTGGGGGTGAAGTTCAATTTAGAATGTAATTATTACACGTCGCAAAGTTTGAGATAACCGCAATCCTTCAGCCGTTTTTAAATAAGAAAATGCTAATAACAGAACGTCTCAATTTAAATTCATAATCATTCATTGGTGTTTAATTTCATAATAAGTGCATATAAAATTTAGAAAAAATTCAAGTTTGATTTCGCTTTTATATGCTTAAAAAAGGTCATGAACGGTTTCTAAATTAATAAGATATGAAACAAACCTATTTGTGAACTCAAATACAAAGTTTTAAAACCCCTTCGGAAAACAATAATTAAAAGACTAAAAAGTATTAAAACATTACATGTGAACAACAAAACTAAAATATATGCAAAGAAAATAAATGCAAATTTATTTCTTTGGAGTTATATACATTTTGATGCATGATGCATTTTGTAAAAATAAATAAATAAATAGTTCCTAAAATCTTTCATCTTTATTTTTTTTTTTAAAAAAATCATTGGTCAACACCTCTTGGTCTTATAGTTCTATGTCTCTAGAAATGTCTTTGATCCAAATTTCTCATCAGCGAAAATCTAGGTTGACATCACTAGAAAGTCGAAAAAAAGATTTTTAATTATTACATGTGACTTTAATCCCTATTTTTTTATATATAAAAAAGAAAATATTAAGCCTGTATATATTAACTTGAGACAAACCCTCACAATTTATAATTTAAAAACAATTTTAATATTATTTATCAAACTTCATTTATTATCCATAGAATACTTCCAAAAATTTCAACATTCGTACGTTATAAATGAGGCGCTGAGCTGCTGAGTTCATGCATATACATCAACGGGGCCTGCTGGTTTTGAATGCTACTCATTCAATTCAAACAGAGACTATAATAATAAGGAGAAATGAGAGGACAGGGTTGTTGAAGTATCTGCAACTGCAAGCTATTAATTTATTGCAATTGGAAAAACAGCCCATTAATTAATTATTAATAATTTTTTTCATTTCCATCCTGACATTGATTACTTGAAGCCTAAAGCTACGCAATTGCTGCTTACAGGCTACAATGCGTCGAACGAAGGTGTGGTGGTGGATGGACTGTTGGACAAACCAATTAAAGTTATATTACATGTTCTTCAGTTAGGAAAGTTTTCTGATCAAATGGTCCAAGTTTTTGGATCAATTACTTTTAATTATTTTTATTTCGCTGTCAATTTTTTTCTGCAATGATATCCGTGTGTGTGTGTGTCTCTCTCTCTCTATATTGTGTTTATTTATGGAATTAATAATATAATAAACCCCTCTGGAAGTTTTGAAGTTAGCTTGGGAAAGCTTAGTGGAAGGTGAATCCAAAGCTGATTGGGATTAAGATGGTTTGCCGGTTAGAAGGAAATCATTTAAAATAGCTGGTCCACTATCTAGGGGATTAGGAAAGATATTCAAATTTGAATATTAAATTTCTTTTAATTATTGAATTTTATGAAGATATTTAGGTTTTCTCTTCCTAGCTTAGGATTTTTTTCTCTTGTTATAAATAGGACCTTAAGTTTATCGAGGAGAGCATCTTTTTCTTATCTTTAGAAATAGCAGTTATTTTAGGATTTACTTTTCTTTGTATTTTCTCTATGGCCATGAGTGGCTAAATATTTTATTTCAGTCAAAGGTTGATTTCAAGTAGAAATTCCTCAACGTGCAATA